TGGACAGGGGTGATGTGTTCTCTGGACCGGGTGTGGGTGAGGAGGCGGGCTGCAAAACCAAAGTGCTTATATGGTTAATATTTGGATTTAAAATTTAAAATAGGATCATCAACCATGGATTTTTTATGCCCAAAATGGTGAGCGCGAGTCACTGAACTCGAGGAGACAAGTCAATAGAAACCAGAGCGAGTTGAAGCAAAACTTTATCCATGTGCACTTCCCTACTGGGGCTTCATTGAGCGAGGGGGTTAGCATTGCCCATCTATATACAATCGTTGATACAAATTGGAATATATTAAAACTGAAACTAAAACAGCAACCCTATTCGACAAAATTCAATGTCATTTCCAGTTTTGAAATAACAAGATTGACTCAGGATTGTTTCTTGGTTATTATTAAGCTGTTTTTTTTGGGGTTTTTTTTTAGCACAGACCCAGATGATTAAACATACGTACTGTAGGTGGTTTTCTATGGGTCAAAATCTGTGGAACACTAGACATCAAAAGTACCAATGCCAAAAACAATTCCCAATTCTGACTTTTGAATAGGATTTTACAGTTGAGGCCAGGATGTGAACCTGCGAGGCAAAACTATTCTCAAACCACCATTCTGCTTTCTGCTTCTGCCCACAGTCTGTAACATATGTGCACATTTTATATTTGGACGGGGCATTTGATTTTTGAAATGTGATGATGACCAACACATTTTTGTAGCCGTAAACCAAAACTTCAATGCTGATCCTCTTTGGCGTCCGTCCCAGAAAGGCATTAGGCTATAGCTGCTGCTCAGTGGAATGTCAGTGCAATTGGCTTCGTGACTGTGGTCGGAAAACGCTCCAGCAGCAAAGTGCAGATCAATTCTGGTCTTAAAATTTGGGAAATTGTCAGGATTGTGTTTAGTCGATAATATAGTCATGTGTAAACAACAGAATTGATAAACATAATCAAGTTGAGTGAAGTTTGGGTCTGTATTCAAGTCTTGATTTGTGAAGAGCTTTCGTTTTTTATTCAGATAATCGTGCAGTTCTATTGTTTGGCATCGAGAACCACAGATTGATGCAGCAGTTTGTGTTGTGCTGCATAAAAACAACATAAAAAACAAAACAATATTCCCACTCAGATAAAACACAGGTTTTTCTCACAAAATCCCAGGTAATTTAGTCAGCGATAAAACCAAACTGTTTAATAGCATGTTGCTTACATGTGAGTCAGGTGAAGAAGGTTATAAAACTACAAACACGCTAAAAGAAACTCTTGGCGTTGTTGTAAACACACTTTAAAGTTGGTATGCATTTTTCTAGATGAACAAAGTGCTTTAATTATTTTAGTTGATGAGGGAACAAAATTGTGTATTGTGAGAAAGATAAGAACTCTACAAAATAAAAAATAAAACAATTTATTTGTAAAACAGAGGTCATCATGGAGATAAAGTTCAACTGGTTGAATTTTACTGGGGCAACAGTAGCTCGGTTGGTAGAGCATTGGCCTTTAGGCCTGAAGGTTGTGGGTTCGATCCCACCTCGACACCGACTCCCACTGATGTCTGCTGTTGTTGTGTCCTTGGGCAAGACACTTAACCCCACTTTGCCCAAAGCCCCCGCTGGAAGATCAAGGCTATGCTAACACTTCCAGAGCAGCTGTCCTCCTGTGGACTCACCACCTGTGGGAGAAGCAGTGAGGAGCTGGTGCTATGAGACTTGGGTGGCATCTCTGACGGCCACCCCCCCGACCCAGAAATGGATTAAGGGGAAGAAAATGGATGATGGATGGTTGAATTTTAATACCACATACTGTAATCCAACATCCAAGGCAAAGCAAGTACATCTGGACGGACCCTTCAGCAGAATCTATACATATACAGTACATGCATGATTCACTGAAAACAGTTTTTCTTCTTCATAAAGTTTTTTTGTTTTTGTTTTTTTAAGTTAAGACTAGACATTACTCACGCATAATGGGAAAAGTAGTTTGTTCCATTAAACTTTTTAGTGTAAATTTGGGTTTGCAGAGAACACAAACCATTCCATGTTGTAATGATAATATCTCCAGTGCTTTACTTAGACCTCCTCTTATACAAACAGTACTCAGAAAAAACACATAATTCACAGTCACTCGTAAAAGTGGAGATGAGCCAACAATAAAACGTATAACTGTCTTTTAAATCTGCAATTTTTGCATGGATTTAGGGGCCTGTGAAACGGATATTGAGGGAATAGGGTTTCATCAGGACTGCAGCTTGGTGGTCCAAATGTGTGCAATATAAACAGGCTGACAAACCAGGTATAAAACCAGGCCTATAATTCTATGTGTTATTTATAGATTTATAAAACAGACAAAAACCATATGTTAAAATGTGAAGAAACAAGCTATAGGCAGTATTGACATTTTTCATTTATTTTGAAAAAAAACATGGCACATCAGAAAAGTCATGAATTGTAAAACTGGTCCATAAAAGTGGTGGACAGCAATAAGTTAAATATTAAAAAGAAAGAAGAAAATAATGTATTTTAACGTACAAGCAAAGGCCAAACTATTTACAAAAGGAAAATGGTGTAATATATTTTTCACATAATTTACAAGCCACCATTCATGCACTCATCCACTAACAATGAAGGGGGGAAACAATAAGAATATCTCAACAATATCACAACGAACTGAGTAGCAACCATATAGCAACCAACTAAAACTCATGTTAGTAAAATCAATGTAAAAACTGGTATATGTTTTTATAATGATGATAAAAATGCAGTATAATTGTCCAGGGCATTTTAAATACACTATTAGCAAAACATATGTAATATGTTTTTTTTACGCAAAAAAAAAAAAAAAACATTATTTAAAGTTTTTGGAGTCTTCCCTTGTTGAGGAAGGAGAGAGAATGGTCCGGGACATTTATCCATCTGCTTAATTCTTGTAAATATTTGTAAATCTGTTTTTCCATTTTGACCGATGACTGCTTTCTAATCTACTATTTTTTCATTTTTTTTTTCGTTATTATTTCAAAATGGACAATAATTTCTCGGGTCAGTATTTGATATAAATTGTTGCTTCATTCCTCACATAACGGTCTCCAGTTGTTTTATAAGAGTTTCATATTCCCCATGTTTCTTTTAGTCTTCCTTTTGGGGGCTCATTGCGTTATGATGATTCATTTCTTTCTTGTTTTCTAACTTCCAAGAATGTGCTTTCTTTTGTGGAACTGAACAGCCATAATTCATCCACTAAAGTAGCTGCTAAACCTCTAAATACAATTTTATAGTGGAAATCATATGTACAGTATAACAAGACCTTCTTACTGTCTATCTTCTGTAATGACAAAACAGGGTGGATACTGGTTATTTTTTACTTGAAGCAGTTGGCTAATGTGTAAAGATGTACTAAAATATTGTCATATTCTGCTTCCTGTGACAAAAGGGATTCATTGTTTTCTACTGGACAAAAATGCATAAAAGGTGTTTGGTAGATAGATAACACATACATATCTTCCATCCATCTATTTTTATTAATTAGTATTTAAAATGTCAGGAATTAGTTTTTATCTAAATTATCCCAAAAATGATAGTGGGCTTACTTCTAAAATGTATTTTAAAAAAATCATTAAGAAAAATCTTCTATAGGAATTTTGTTAAGCGTTTTTTGAACTGGTTTGCACTTGTTTGGTGGTGAGTCCAGTTGCATGCTTCTTCCTTTATACCTTTTGTCCTCAATGCGTCTGGTCCAAATTCAGACCTGGTTTAGTCCTGAGACCGACTGAACAAATGGCCTCTGAAATCCAAACACAATGTACATGTTGTATATTGCTCCCACATGTTGCAGACACTTTACAAGCCTGCAGCAGTTTACAATGGCCCTGTATTTCCAAACTATTTTTAACCTCGCCATAAAGGCCACAGACCTTATCCTTATTGCTGAAATTCCTCTCACAGTCAGGTGCAGAGAATTCAAAACAAAGGCTCTTTTAAAAAACGTGAATCAACGTGCTTTTAAATGTCATCTTCTCACACGTTAAAGTCTCAAATACTTACAAATGAGAATAAAATAACACATTTCATCTGTTATTGTCAAATGCAATATTGACTCTGCAGTTTGTTGAAATACAGACAAAACACAGCGCAAATTTAAGGCCATGCATGACTGACGGCTAGTACGGTTAAGTGCGGAAATAACAACGTATATTTAGGCATGGAATCTCTATAAACTAAACATTTATTTTAGAAGGGATGATCTATAAAAATTAGCTGTAAACATTTTTTTTGCCAGATTTGTCGCATTTTGTGTGCAAGGGCCAAAACAGATAGTTTTGAGGGTGGCATTTTGCTTGAGGGCCTGAGTTTTGTCTACAAGAATAATTTTGAATTGATTTAGAATGGATGGTAAAACAGAAATTGTTTTGTAAATGTAAAAAGGTGTTGAACAAACCAAGCCACAACATTAAAACTTGGAAAAAAGAGCCAGTATTCTGTTGGGAGAGTAAGGGTGGTCTTCTCTTTTTCACTTTTCTGTCTGGAAAAAGCTGGCCTAAACACGTGACCAAGCCCAAAAAGAGCAGGCAAATGAAAAGGTGTAGTGATAGAACTTAACTGTATTGAGAGCAAGGAACTAGTTAGATGGTTTAAATGAAATATTAGTAACATTAGAAACGCTCTTATAGCCAAAATGTATTGCAAGGCATTGTGGTGAATAAATATGATGAGGAAAAACTCTGTAATGCACTCTTTTGACACAGTAAAAATCAAGTGCTGGAAGATAAGATAAAATATATGACACTGTTATTTTGTAAGAAACGCTTTCTTTTTGACATCCAAGTTACAAGCTTCAAGAACGCAGTCGCATAAGAGCAATTAGGAGAGAAATAAACGTAAGGCCAAGCAGATCTTCTATCCTGGTTCACACATCTCGCATCTCGCTCAAAAGTCCCCATACTTGCAGCTTAACACACTTTACGAGAGCGTCCTAAACCCCTACAATGTATTTTCTATGTACATGAGTTAGCTACATCTCTCAGACGATTTGCACTTTGTTATTGGGGTACACGGCCACCACGTCGTAGCCCTCTGGTGCCTGGACCCGCCCCATCGCACAGGCCTCGCAGTACAGACTCTCCTCGATGAAGAAATATCCCTTCTTCTTCAGGTTGATGTTGCAGTCGTCGCACATGAAGCAGTCCGGGTGGTACAGCTTGTCTCTGGCCTTCACAATGGTTCCACTAAAATACAGAAATAAAGGAATGGTAATCAATAAATGTGTGTGGTTATACAGAATATAACCACACAACCACACACACATAATAAATAAACTAATTCTGTTCTCGATATTATGATAATCAATTACTCTCGTGCATTTGTATTAAAGTAGCCCTAATATGTCAAAAAGCATTAATAAACTATGCTCTTTTTGAATACTTCTTTAACTGATAACATTAGTTCTGCCGGGATATTCGAATTTCAAAATTAGTTTTTGTTTTCATTTCGATGTCCCGCCCTCCACCGTTTAACCAATCAGAAAGCTATAGATTTGTTGTTGACAAAACTCTTGTCTATTCAGATATTATGGTCCCATCTGGATTCGTCTGCATATCTGGCAACCTGAGTCAGAGAGAGTGGGAGAGGATGCAGTACCACTTTTGACCAGATTTTTACATAGTGCTCATTAAAAATATTGTTCATATGAAACAATGAAACAAGTCGAGTAACTCCAAGTCTAAGTCTCCTTCTGCTCCCAAAAGACAAAATTGCGATGTGATTATATATCATTTTTCCCCTCAAGCAAAAATGGCAATACGAGGCAGGTAGATTCTCAACAAGTATTGTAAGAAAAACCCAGGGGAGGGGCTATAGCGCCTGTCGTCGGAGGACTGAGGCTCGAACAATGGTGGCGCGCATGTATGAGGATATAAGGTCAAACATGCCTGAATCGCACTGATGACTGCTGTGTATGTGTACATTATATAACTATAAAATGGCCAAAAGCTGAGAAATCTTGAAGCTATGGCCCCTTTAATGAGAATATTCGCTGCATTTTTCTTCATAATTACTTGCAGAAAAGCTTGGAAAAGACAATGTTTCCTGTATCTCTAATCTAATACTTTCCTTGTAAATGCTATCTCTAGGGATTTTTCATGAATGAATGGAACAAATAAAACAAAAGAGTAATTTTCATCATCATTTTTCTTCAAAATATATTCAATTGTTTTAGCCGGAGACATTAAGGCATGCTATTAATATTATGTAACTGCCCTTGAATAAATAATATCATGCTCTGTTTATCGGATCTTATTTTGGTCAGCAGGTTGTGAGACGATGGCCTTACATGGACAAGCCTTTGCTGTGGTAATAAACTGCACATCTGATAGAAAATAACATTTGTCACTTGGTGCTCATATGCCGTAGATGGATTGATCTTGAGAAAGGCAAGGTATATTATAGCTATGCACACAAGTGTTCGTAAATACAAAATCCAAGATAGCTTACTACAATCCTAATAACTGGATAAACAAATGTGGTTATTATGGCTCCTCTTACATGGACCAGGTTTCATAATGTGCAAAGTTTGATGCCATCACTGGAACTTTCAAAGCAAATCGAGAATACGGTATCAATCCAAGTAGCTGTATTTCAAATGGGAAAACCAACTAGTTATTTGACATAATTCTGTGTAACCCTGAGTTACATTTACATAATACGAAATTATAGATATTATATACACAAGAGAAACACCTGCACATTCTGAGACGATACTTTGGTTTTAAAAGACGGAAATGGCTCTGTCTGTGTTTAAAAAAAGCTTTCAAACAGAGTATATAGACAGACCAGATGGGGGACATCTCAGTTTGAGATATATCCCGATATTACTTTAGATGTGGGGATAATACAAAAATTCAACCAAAATATCCTTATGTTGTACTGTTGTAGTCCGGGATTTGGGAAAGACGTTTATTATCTTTAGGGTTTGTTCCTCCATAAAGTTGTATTTTTTCATCCAATCCTCAATCTCTAATATGTTTAATAAAGTGCTTTTTACATATAGTTGACATTGACATTCACATTGATCTTATGTTAAAGAAATGGTGCAATAAATGTGAGTAATATAGTGTTGAATAGCCCCAGTCTACATGTTCCTGAATTATTTACAGGCCCGTCCTTAACCTTGAACGTCCACCTCATTGACACACACTTGAGTTTGAGTCGGCTCTTTGTCTTTGGCCCCTGATCAGCTGCAAAGTCCCATTAAAACTACTCACTGCAGCTTGTGACCGCACTGACAGGGGCCTCTGAGGGCGTTATTCATTCACTCGGTTGAGGATTTCCATTCTGGTTGTGAGAATGTGCCTGACGACCACCGGTAAAGTTGAATTTTCCATGACTGCTTTGCACTTTTGAATACATGTGTTTATTAGGAGTTGAGGTAGGACAGGAGTGATTTAAGGGGACCACGCAAATGTAACTCAGTAAAGAGACGTGTAGCAAAATGTTCATCCAATCCAATGATGTTGCCCTTGAGCTTTTTGCCTCTTGATGATTTATGCAAGATTGTAGTCAACTAAAGACATTCTTGGTTTATAAACATACTTTCCAATGGGACTGCTGAGGAATGTATATACAAGGATGTCCCATGGTTCCTGGGGTTTCCAGTTAGACATGGAAGTGGCCGCTGTTTGAAATATCTAGGGATTCTTGGCTTTTCTATTTACCAATAGCTTTTAACTGTCTTTATTTTGTCTGTTTGCTTTGTTATGCTGTATTTATTTTTCATCTGACTGTTTTGATTGTTGTACTACCTTATGCAGACTGTGCAGCACTTTGTAAACACTGTTTTGTGCTTTACAATACAATATTAGTACCCTAATATAGATGGGTAGATAGATACTTTATTGATCCCCGCAGGAGAATTTCAGGTGTCCAGCAGCAGCAAAAATATAAAATATAAAATGTATCATTCTAAAAAGATAACAATAGTAATTATCAGCAACAGCACTTCAGGTCACAGCAGCAGAGGTGGAGTAGCCTCTGGGTGGAGCAGGACGGGTCACAGCAGCAGAGGTGGAGTAGCCTCTGGGTGGAGCAGGACGGGTCACAGCAGCAGAGATGGAGTAGCCTCTCGGTGGAGCAGGACGGGTCACAGCAGCAGAGGTGGAGTAGCCTCTGGGTGGAGCAGGACGGGTCACAGCAGCAGAGGTGGAGTAGCCTCTCGGTGGAGTAGGACAGGTCAAAAGGTGGAGTAGCGGCTTGGTTTGGACCATTTTCTCTGCTCTAGTCCAAAGAAAATGCTAAATGCTTCATTAGCATTTTTCAAAAAGTTAGTATTCCTCCAGTGGATTTTCGGCTGATCCGCTTGGTTCAGACCATGAATCCTCTCTGCTCTGGTCTGGGCCAGTGTAAAACTATGAACACTGTACTGCAGCAACATCTCAGGTAGGGTATTATGTATTACTGTGTATTATACAGTGTCATATTTGTCTGTTGATTAGTTGCAATGTATTCTGTGTATTATTTTTATGAATGGTGAAAGGGGGCTGGGAAAAATACGCATCTGCTTCATCCAACCTGTTTTCAAACCTGTATTAGTGTAAAGATATCTGAAATTGTGTTCTGCGGGTTTGAATTAAATCAAACTAACATTATTAGCGATGCTGTACAGTACAGCAGATGGGGTTTCAAACAGACACACACCACGTTCTGTATAAATTCTACTTTTTACACGTCTCCTCCATGAGCTGCTGGTTGTCTAACTGGTGTTGATGTCATTTCACTACAGCCCCATTAGACTTTAAGTCAGGAGGTGACAACTTTTTTTCTGGCAATAGCTATTGAGTATTTCCCATGATCCAGACAAGACCACCACCCACAAGATTTTTATGCAGAAAACAGCATCTTTAAAAGGCATAACATCTCATTCTCTCCTTTCTCATTATGTTCAATGTACATTCAAATAATCCTTGTAAAATATTCGGTCTATTGAAAAGACCTATTAATCAACTAAAAGATCTAGCGCCTAAGTTTAACGATCTATGGGAAGAAATGAATAGAAATTTCCCCTGACCACTGTGAGCCATTTTAGCAGTGAGTCACATTTATGCCTAACCACAGTCTTGTTGGATAAACCCTTGACACTGGTCTATAGAAGCCAATAGAGGAACGGTATAACAGGTTTTTTGTGCGTCTACAAAAGGGCTGCTATGTGAGAGATGACATCATGCTTGTACCTGCGAATGGCTTTACTGCACAGGGAGGGATTACAGGGCGTTTGGTTTTCTTGGCGTAAAGCCCTCTATGTATATGTGTGGGTGTAGAGGTTAGATTAGATCATGCTTAAGGTATTGGCACATATTTTGCTTGATTTAACCTTTTAAAGTAGAAAGAGTAAAGGGATTTCTTATAAAGAGCTGTCGGGTTAGATCAGGGATGTCTGAACTATATGATCAAATGTGGCCCTCATCAATTCTCTATGGCCGCCATACTCCCATGTGACAAAGGCACAAATACAAATTCAACACATAAGTCATCACAGTACTAAAGGCGTCTGGGAGACCTCTGAGATGCAGGTGCCACATTGGGGTGGCTGCAGCTGCTGTAAATTGCCAAATTGTTGTGTATTTAGGCAAGACACTTCATCCAAATTGGTTTGAGTCGTGATGTGTGCGTGAAAGGTTTGTGGGGCATGGTCAGAGACACTGAAGTTATAGCTTCTGTCAGTCTGCCACAGGGAAGCTGTTGTTTACTCCCATTCTGTACAGATTGGATGGTGGTGTCATGAAAAGTAGTAGTAGAAGTGCATCATTAACATTTCTTACAAACCTGATTACAAGCCCTTTAAATACAATGTATAAATACAACCTGGGGGCGACAGTGGCTCGGTTGGTAGAGCATTGGCCTTTGGGCCTGAAGGTTGTGTGTTCAAGCCCACCATAAGACCTACTTCACGACTCCCACTGATGACTGCTGTCGTTGTGTCCTTGGGCAAGACACTTACTGTAACCCCACTTTGCCTGAAGCTCCCACTGAAAGATCTCAGCTCCTGTGGACTCACCACCTGCAGGAGGATCAGTGAGGGGCTGGTGCTCTGTGTACTGGGTGTAGCTCTGACTGCCACCCCCCCGACCCAGAAATGGATTAATGGATGGATGGTATAAATACAACCAATTTTTTCAATTGTGTTTGAAGAATATTGTTCCAAATCATTTAGTTCAGTGATGAGCGTGGTCATGACAGATAATGAATATTGTAGAACTCTAAACTCCATACATTTGTCATAAATGTAAAAATACTTACACAATGCCGTTGCAGCAGCGTGTGCACTGGGGCAGTTTCTGAAGTCCAGGGGCAGGACTGGAGATAGGGTTTCCCATCTTGGGAACTGGAGATCTGATGGGAGACTTCAGATTCCTCAGTCGGTCAGTTGGCGACACACCTGGGTGGGAAAAATGCATTAAAACCATACTTCTACGTATTGGTCTAAGCAATGTCATATTTTCCAAGGTATATACTACTCATGAATTTTCAAAGTTTGTTGACCACCGTAAATAATTCACTTGACTTTATCTTAAGATAGGTGAGATATACACCTGCGGACTGCCCTGCCCGACCCGCCTGGGAGTGCTTCAGTCCTGCACCGGACCTGTCCACGTTCAGCGGCCACTGGTCCACGTTCTGTAGCTAGCTTAGGTCCTAGATCATTAGCCTGTCTGTCCGGAGGAGCGGATCCCTTTCTCAAATGGGTCTCCCTCCCTGTGGGTTTCCCAAGTTCTCCCCAAGGTTTCTCACTTTTTCCCACTGGGTTTTTTAAGAGTTTTTCCTTGTCAATGCAGGAGGGTCTTGTTGGACAGTTAGTGTCCAACAGAAAGGATTGGTGATGATCAGGACACTTTAGCATTCTACAACATGTATGGACATTTTCTTCTGTGTGTGCTTTATATTTTTCATGTGTTTTATGTTGATTCTCTGACCTGTGTTGGTGATTTCAATGGTTTTGTTAAGTCCTCTGAGATGACTTCTGTTGTGACTTAGGGCTATATAAGAATAAATTGTATTGTATATACTTTATCCTGCCTGTGGGGAAATCTTGCCTTTTGATTTTATTTTTATTGTTAGTTTTATGATTAAATTGAAGTCCAACAAGATCATCTTTCCAGTCCATCTTTGCTTGAGCTTTGAAGTCTGTTTATAATAAGTAAACAATGACCTTGGCCTTATGTCTCCTTGGGGCTAAAGAGGTCAAAAAGCCAAATCTGCTTCAAAGAAAGGTGGGATTTGGAAAATGTGTTTCTTTTCTCCCTCCACCGAATATCTATGGCGTTCCAAGTTGACCCTGTCTGCTTCTATTAAAAGAGACTTCTTACACAGATTTACCCTAAACGGCTTTAAAACAGACTCCAGGGCCCAGGTTATGTCTCCCTTTGGACCATTTCTCACTTTCTCTATTGTTTAGTGAGCTATTAACTATCATGAGCTTAACCCAGTAGCAAAACAGACAAGGGAAAAGCAGCCCATATTAAACCATTATAATTCACTCTATACTATACCAATCTACATTCATAATTCACAGTGATTGGTTATTACTGACTATTGATGCCTATTCATTTTACGCCCATAAGATGCATCGAAAATGTGATTACTCACTTGAATCCAAATATCTCTGCAAAAATCTGCTCTTTAATCATATTTATTTCAGCTGCCTTTATCTCTATTAAAACGTTTACAATGTTATGATGTCATCCAAAATCCAGCTATTCTCAAAATTCTAATTTCTCTCATCAGGAGCCGTGACTAAGCCGCGGCATGGTGGATAGCACTCTCGCTTCTCAGTAAGTAGGTCCTGAGTTTGAATCCCGGTCAGAACAGGGCCTTTCTGAATGGAGTTTGCATGTTCTCCCCGTGTCTGCGTAGGTTTCCTCTGGGTGCTCCGGTTTCCCCTACCACTGAAAACATGCACTATAGGTATGAGTGTAAATGAGAGAGTGAATGGATGGTGTTGATTGGGGGCTGATGATCCAGTGTGTTCGGCGACTCGCTTCCGTCATCACCGTGTGTGGAATGATTGGAACAATATCTGAACTCTGAACATTGTAAAGCGCTTTGGGTGACCTTGGTCTGTAAAACGCGCTATATAAATAAACATTACTTACTTACTACTACTAAGCCTGTCGCTGCTCTGTGGCCCGTTACAGATCTGCTGTTTCATTTGGGGATTATGACTTCTCTTTGTTCAAGTTTGAAAAAAATGTCTGTATAGTAAAACTCCTACTACTGTATACTCTACTAAACCTCTGAGATAACTATTGTTGTGGTAGGGCTATAAAGAAAAAATTGAATGGAATAGAATCTTGTCTTGACGTTTTTGAACTTTTTTCACATTTTAAGATGTGCGTATGTGTTGATTTGTATCGTTCACGGTTTTTGCACAAATACTCTTTATTATGAAATCATGAAAAACTGTATCTACTGAGCCAACAGTTCATTTATTGTGCTGTTCCTCTAAGTTAAGTATATAATGGGCATTTTGGTCCCACCTTCTTCATCTTAACCACAGGTCCTTGTCCTCCTGTGGAATTCTACGTTATCCGATCCTACTGTTTACCTTTTGAATGTCCTGAAAAGTCAACATTGAGGATACCATCTACAACTGTCACCGGACCAGCGGGGCAGAGACACAAGCATGGCTGTATACACGTTCAAATACATGACCTAAAATACACACACAATGCAAATGTACACAATGTCATTTTAACAGTATCAGTCAAGAAGCCAGTCTGTCATACGCAGGCCTGTAAATAGTTAATTCATAACTAATCAATGAGTTTAAACAATAGCCAACTACTGTACAATCCAAATAGTCATAAACTGCTCTATACAGTATACAGACTCCAAAACATGTGCAGAATTTTTTTTTAATTTGCTTCAGCTAATTTAACTTCAAGTACATTTCTCTATTGTGTGAAAAAAGTCTCTCATCTCATCTTTTCTTATAATGATTGATGTATATTTCAGATTAATTCTTACGACATACTGATTTTTTAATATGCATCAGTGTAACATGGAGCAATCTCAGGAGTCATTTCTTGGCAAAAATATTATTGCAGAGGACGTTTTAGATGAGTGGAAAGCTTGATTACAATAGAGAATGGAATCTGACACTGAAATGAACTCCTGGCTTTGCAGCTGCTGAGGTGATTTTCACAGTCTGATTGGACAGTGGACACCATCAGCTCACTTTGAAACGGTCTCAAAATGATTGTACCTCGCTGCATGGAAGAGTAAACCTGTCGATCACAGCCAGGCTCATGAGAGAGAACAAATACTGCACTGCGAGCTTCTAACCCCATCAGTCAGACCACATCCTCTGCTGTCTGTCAAATATACTATACAGGCTGTTGAATGTTCTAAGAGACATACTGTACACGTTTTGGATACATCTAAAACTTCCGTCCGTAAAACTGGATCTCTTCACCATCTCGCAAGGGGCTATACACCCATTGGAAGAACTATACATGTACATACTGTAGGTAACGAATATGGATATCTTCAAGGTTTCTAGTTGTCCTGTCTGATTTTGTGTATTGCTCTGAGGGAAGGTGTGACGGCAATACTTAAAAATCCAAATCGCCTCGAGGGGCATTATGCAACTTTTTACGCGGAAAAAAAGTTGTAATTTTTTTTATATAAACAGCACAACAATAAAAAGTGCTGTATGAGTAGTCGGCATATGGCCTTTATTCCTCTTCGTGGTCTCTAGGATGCTATTATGTGCAACTGTTTGGAAGGTTTTCTTTACTGAGAGAGCCCAGCACCAGAAAACATGCAAAAGAGTTTGTCCTGGAGCAATGCAGACACAACCCTGTTCAAAAGCACCATTCTTCCCACTCTTAGAGCCACTGGCACGCTAATTTTTACCCCCACTTACAATTGTATAATACACCTTTAATTGGTCAACATTATTTTTGACACTATTTCAATTGTTGTTGTATTGAATTTGAATGAGGGTACTTTTGATTATTATTTTCTAGTTTTCTAATAGCAAATCGATTGTTGTGTATGTGCATGTATGTGTGTGTGTGTTGTGTGTGTGTATCTCTCGCATCACATACAGTAGCTTCGTGAAATTGAGAAAGTGATAACGAAAGAATAATTTAGGATATAATAATAACAGTCCGACAAAATATTGTGCCATATAATGTAAAGTTTACACATTGCAATAATGCTTTTAACAGTTTACTACTGTTTGAAGAGTGCACATTTATTTATATACTGGACTGTTAAGGTAAAATACATTTATTAACAGCAAATGAAAAACCCTAAGACGGTTAAAGTGTGTACAGAGATGTTAATTATGAACCAGTGTTTGCCAAAGGGATGGTCGCTTCATACATTCAGTTTGTTTCTGTCCACCCACATTCTTCAGTTTGTATCATCCTGTAACTTAAAGGGCCATTTTCAGGAGACCACTGTTACACATTAATCATTTATTATCTATGAGAACAGGCCATAAAGGTCACTGCTCTGAGGTCAAAAGTGTCAAAGCAGAAAGAACAACAAAGGAACTTGGAAAAACTGCAGAAGTCAGATTGTAAAGTTCAAATGTTTACATACTATTTGGATGTTGCATGATGGGTCTGTAATCTGTGTGTATGCTACATTTAATTTTGATTTCTGGTTTCACCTTTCCCTCTAGCCCCACCTACTGCCTGGTCCTTAGCTAGCTGTGGTATGTTGACTGTTTGAGAATATGAATATCTGGATTTCGCAAAGTTCAGTCAGGAGTCATTCTACAATAACACATATATTTCCACTGCTTGTTGTGGTGCAGTTTCCCAATAACAGATGGGTTTCTGTAATCCAGCATAGTTTTTTAAATTTGTTTCATTGAGTATTATGGTTTTACTCACTATCTTCATACTTATCATTAATAGTTACTTAACATTCGGACATAACATTTTGAATAATATATGTATTTTTCCTGTTTCATGTGGTAGCTACAAAAATCAGCTCAGTTTGTTTGTTGAATTATCTGTTATTCCATCAAAGAAAGTCCAATGCACTGAAGAAAAGCTGTCGTTTTTTAGTTTTTTTTTTTTTTTTACAGTGCAGGAATTTGTCACAACCTCAAATGCTGAACAGACAAAAGCCAGACAGGAAGGCCATAAATCTGAGGTTATAGTCCTTTGTTGAAGTTGTTTTTGCAGTAGATTGCCTTAACAAAACTCTCCTCCCGAGTTCATCTTCTCTCGAGCTTTTAGGAACACTCTGTCTTTTGCTTCTCGCTCGAGCTTTGTCCAAAATCTAATTTCTGCCGTCGTCGCCTCGGAGAGTCAGTGACCTGTGCGTGTCTCTATAAAAGGAAAAGTATTCACCAGCGGAGAAAGGGAGGATTAACTTAGAGGGGCCTGAGAAAACTACAAGTCCAGAACAGCTCCAAATGGATTTAGAGTTGTCCCTAAAGGGGGGTCTTGCACTTAAATTGAGTTTTGATGACACAGAATCTGCAGTCATCACCATGTTTACTTTTGTTTGTTTGAAAAAATGCTATAATTACCAACAATCCATACAAACGTTGAATCTTGTTTGTTTCTTGTCACTACCACTGAGAATCCTTCTATAACTGATATTGTGTTTGAACTGGACCCTGGGACTGCAACACTGAGGTTTGAAAAGTTGGTTGGAAAAATGAGAAAAATCCAGGTTGCTATTGTGATTGACGATTCAAAACAAAACTCCCTTTTTCTTTTGAATGGGTGGAGCATTAACAGTCATGAAACGGGACATTGAAAAAAGCCATGATTACAGAGTATATGTTCACACAAACCCAACAAAACCTAGTGACACATGTGGTAGAGCGGCAGTCTTTAAAGGAAAGGAAAGCTGTTGGTATTCAGTGCAGCATTTTTGATGTTGTCTGTACTTCTGATTTTTGTCTGTTTTTTTTTTTTGTAGTACTGTATTTGAGGTTTCCTGGATATGTAAGAGGCATTATAAATAAAATGTATTTATTATTATTATTATTATTATTATTATTATTTGTATTACTATTATATTATGTATGCGGCTAGGATTTGGTACAGTCTTCCTGAAAATGTGAGACAGGCGACTTCTGTGGCATTCTTTAAGTCTAGGTTAAAAAGGTTTCTGTTTAGCTGTGCATACAACTGATTTATTTTATTTTTAGGTGCACTATGGCTATTTATGATTTTAATCCCATGTGTGATTTTAATGTTTTAATGTTTTTTATTACTTGTGTGATTAGATTTTTTTATGTTTTTAAATTTTCCGTGTGATCTCATTGTGTGTTTTTAATGCCCTTTGGGATTTTAATTGTATCGTTAATGTTTTTGTGGATTTTAATGTCTAGGATTTATGCATGATGTGAGGCGCCTTGTTTTGGCTTGTGTAGGAAAGGCGCTCTACAAATAAAAGTTGATTGATTGATTATGAATGAGATCAAAAATCACAATTCATTGATCAGTGGCACTAACCTGTAGATCTAGTCTATTTTATATTTCATGTTTTCTTCCTCACAAATAATACATGAGAAGCTTTGGTTTGGGTGCTAAACAAGTCTTTCAATACATTCAAACTGTCAAATTTTTTTTGGCAAAACTCTTTTTAGTCTGGTCTGCATTTACCTCCATCCCCGGACTCGAGGATCCCCTGCAGGTACTTGAAGGATCCAGACTGTTTGGGTTGAGACACTGGTTCTTCATAGTCCTGGAGCATCCTGTAGACCTCAGACTGTGTGTCCACTTCACTGCGGCCCCCGGGGGACTGCATTGGTGGCTCTGGGCTGGAGAGAACACATGATGATATTAGCATTTTATTTATTAAGCTCAAATCCAAATGGAATTCTAACTAAAAGTGTACAAAAAAGAACGACTTCACATAACTATCTCAATTCTTGACCACAGATATCTTTCAACCACTCTTCTAAAATCTCACCACAAACACGTTTTTGGACCCAATTTCAGTTATTTTCGTGAATCCCGATTTCCCCCACACCGCCCCAGGGAGACGTTCAGGACCACAGCATATTCTTAGACTTTGAATTTAAACCTTTATTTGCATTTCCTGGAATGTACTACATAACAGTAAAAAACATGAAAAAGACCTCCTGATCCATCCATCTTTCAGGGAATGCATTGTGACTTTTGCTTTAAGATTGAATGGTTTGGTTCTTTCTCAAAGTAAAAAGCAAGATTGATTTGTTTATCTGAGTTCACATTGTTTTTAAACCTCCATAAAATAAAATGGATGCACTTAATACACTTGTACTACATACTTTACTGAAGATCTTCCAGATTTGGTCTGGATAATCTCCAAAGAGTTGCAGACCTGTGCCTTTGAATGCCTGCAGTCCTAATCATTAAAGTTTCATGCATTCATCCACCCATCAAGTCTCTTCAAAACCTGGACACAACTGTTTTAACTTCTCAAAGCCTGCAGGAAAGAGCACTGTGACTTTAGTAGAATTACTTCAGGCTAATTCTACTAAACTACAAGAAGGGGTTTGGTCCATATTCTTTTATCCAACAACATGACATAAAGGTGTTAAGAGTGACACAAGAGGAGACATAGTTGAACACATACAAATGAAGCAAACAGTCTCGAATGGCTCGAGAGGGTTAGACATTATGTGTTTGCATATTCTTCTTGTTCCCGTTTCCTAACATGTCCGCTACAAACTTTCAGCTGCCTAAATATCACTGATCATGGGGCAGTTCTGTGTCATTCTACAGTGTAGGTTTATTGGTGAGACATGGGTTCTCCAGGGAAACTTCTTTTCCTTGCAGTGTGTTTTTTGTATCTTGGCAAATTGCCCGACGAGCACCAGACTTTAAACATTCTGATGCCTGCAGTCGCTCCTCAGACACTTCACAGCGGTCGCTTACTGTTCAGGTTGACAGGCTGAGACAAAAGAACCTAAACAATGCTTGTGTTATGCACCTCAGAAACTTCAGAACTTCTCTCTTTATTGATTCCACACACAGCAATGGTAAGCACCGCCAGCCCACCTGTGAGAGCATAACTGATCTGTCCACTCTGTCAAAGTGAAAGTAAGATTTGAACTGCCAACCTTTGCTCCAGAGAATGCATACTCTACCTGAGTTACTGTCACCTTATAAACAACTTACACCTGTAACAGTCTGTTTAATGAATCACACAGAAGCAAAGGACTAGTGGTTGACTCCAGGATGTGCAGCCTCTAAACTCTAAACCTTTATGAGCCACTGGAGAAGATCCCCAACAACATAATGTGTTCTGCAGCCCTCTGCTGCACAGGTGTGTTCACCATATCCTCACACTGCACGGCACGGTGGCTGAGTGGATAGCACTCTCGCCTCTCAGCAAGAAGGCCCTGGGTTCGAATCCCGGTCGGACCAGGGCCTTTCTGAGTGGAGTTTGCATGTTCTCCCCGTGTCTGCGTAGGTTTCCTCCGGGTACTCCGGTTTCCCCTACCACTAAAAATATGTCCAATAGTTCTGGCATGCGCCTCCTGTACTGGCGACCCCGCTCCCATCTCTGTGTGGGGTGAGAGACAAATGCCCAAAATTAACAATTGTAAACCGCTTTGAGACTCAGATCTGCAGTGAAAAGGCGGTATATAAATAAAAACTTACTAACTTACTTACTTACCATCTGTCTGTCTGTGAGTCCAGGCACAACACCAAAACATGCTGTGAATTATTTTCAAACAGCAACACTCAAAATAGATTTAACAAGCATTTTAATAACCCAATAAGACTGTTTTTTATAGTTCATATTTGGACGTTTTTGGTCTCAAGCTGCAATCCTTTTAATAAAACTAGGTTAAATGAAAGCCAATATGGGATTTAATAGCCGTAGAAAACTGCCCCTAAAGGAAAGTTAGGTCCTGACCTTTCCATTGGAAACTGTGGACGTTTCTGGAAAATTGTGAATGACTTAGCAAAACATGTTTTTCTTTCTTGAAGCCAATCACCCTAAGTCATTGATAATTCAACTTAATCTACTTAAGTCGGCACAGGTGTCCTGGCATTCACTGACAAAGAAAAAGTGCTATTTTCAAAAACTGCTTCTCCTTTCACAACCAATTTCTTCCACAAAAATGGGTAGGTGAAGAGTGGGAAATGTATTCACTAAATAATCTCAGACAAGATTCCTCATTTGATGATCCATGATGATTTCTTTTCAGCTGCATAAACATTCATTGTGATTATTTAAAACAAAATACATAAATGTTTCTGATGATATCTGCCGCCTACTTGGAAAGAGCGGACCCCCCACCATGCAAACTGCAAGGGTTTGTTTTTAGTTTTTGGACTTAAAGCAAGACTTTCCAATGGAAAAAACAAACAAATGTTGCTGGACCAGACAAAAGCTACTTCTGTTAATAAATCTGTCATTCACATTGTTCAAACATTTTGTGAAAAGAGCTGCCCATGTTCATATCACTGACCTGTTTGTCGCACTGAGTCTGAGTCCACTCATCTTGTTGGATAGACATTTCTCTCCATTGCTTCCATTGCTTCCATTGTGTGAGTACAAAGCAGAAGGCGCGTTGTACTGGGGGGAATTGTATTGGTTTGCGTTGTATTGAGGGCTGGGTGCAGTGTATTGAGGGCTGGGTGCGTTGTAGTTGCCGTGCCCATTCCCGTTCCCATATCCTGTGTAGCTGTGTCCGTTGTTGGGCCTGGAGTGTCCGTTGTTGGCGTACGGTGTTGGAGACGAGACCGGGGCTGGGGGTGAGGGGGGTTCTGAGCCATACGACGGTTTGCGCTGGTAACTCGGAAAGCCGCTTGAGATCGGACGGAAATTCTGAAAAGGACGGACAAGAGGATATCTGAGGTGAGAGCTTGTCAAATGTTGTAAAAGATATCACTCAACATTTGGTCTTGTACAGCAGTGGTTCTCAACTGGTGTCAGAACATCAACTTATAATGGCAAGCTGCGACCCAAGTTGAAATAGTATATACTGTAAATGATGTAAAATACTCCAAAGAACTGCAACATACCCTGAATCAAGGAAATTAATCTTGAAAATCTTGTCTAACAAATTAAAGAAATCCAAATGGATAAGTTTTTATTTTTTTATTTTGTTTGAAGTACAAACATTTGAATTGTGGAGACATGTCTTAATAATACTTCTTACATTACAATAGATTAGTAAGCTTTTATTTATATACCGCCTTTTCACTACACATCGGAGTCTCAAAGCGGTTTACAATTGTTATTTTTTTTGGGAGTGCCAGTACAGGAGGCGCATGCCAGACCTATTGTACATATTTTTAGTGGTAGGGGAAACCGGAGCACCCGGAGGAAACCTACACAGACACGGGGAGAACATGCAAACTCCACTCAGAAAGGCCCTGGTCCAACCGGGATTTGAACCCAGGACCTTCTTGCTGAGAGGCGAGAGTGCTATCCACTCAGCCACCGTGCCGCTTACTACATTTTACTACAAAGGCTCTCGACAGACCAGTTGAGAACCATTGTTTGGTTTGCGTGTCAAAACATTGTGACATCCATATAATATCCCAAAAACTGATACACTCTTATACATGGATACAGGAGCTAAACAATATCACTGTGGTTAAACAGGAAGTTGTAATCTCCAGTTCCTGTAAACTCAGGTCCTTGTACCATGAACAAACAGAGCCACATGAGAGGAGCCAGTGGTCCAGTCCATATTAAAAAACACAATCTTCAAAGAGGACCAACTCTCCACCTCATTTCTCTTTTGGACTTCTTCATATTTAGTTAAGCTGTTGTTATAGATTTCCCGCAGATGTTCTGTCAAAACAAATTACTTGTCAAGAGTAAATATTTAGAAATGTCTTTTCACTTAAAGCTCACATTTCAACTGTTGTTATTTATAGTCGTTGACAGAACACAATGTCAGTTTTTGTTTGAGACCCACAAGACATCTGAAAAGACTTCTGAAAATGCATTACTGCTACAGCTACTGCTACTAATACTGCTGCTGCTACTACTACTACTACTGCTATACTACGGCTACTCCTGCTACTACTACTGTCACTACTACTACTACTACTACTGCTACTACTACTGCTACTACGGCTACTCCTGCTACTACTACTGCTACTACTGCTACTACTACTGCTACTACTACTGTCACTACTACTACTACTACTACTGCTACTACTACTGCTACTACTACTACTACTGCTACTACTACTGCTACTACGGCTACTCCTGCTACTACTACTGCTACTACTACTGCTACTACTGCTACCACTACTACTGTGTTATGTTTATGTATAAAGCACAATCAATGCAGTTCAACCACCCAACGCGTTTCACAAACAAAAAATAGTAAATCATCACAATAAAAAATCTAAATAAATAAAACTATTACTACAGTATGTCAATGTCAACACCATCTGCCCAAAGTGCTTCCCAGGCTCAAAAGATAAAAAGCAAACAGCATAAAATACATATGAAAAGTAAAACTCAGTTGGTGTTAAAAGCCAAGGTGTAAAAAATAGTTTTTAGACTAGATTTTAAAAACCTGCAATTAAATTTGTGTAACTACTGCTACTACTACTTTGAAATCAAACAGCACTTAGACAATTCTGTACGACTTAAATCTCACTTCTCCACCAACTATTTCCTTGCCACATCACCCGACCGAAATCCAGCCTGTTTTCTTCTACTTGGAATAGAAGAACCAACACCTACATTAAATTACAGCACACTCCCCCAGTGTTTAGACTTTGGTTAAACACTGATGTCATGCTTCTTGCTTCTTGAGCGTGGTACGGCTGCAGACAGAGCTATCTCCCAGCTCTCAGATAAGGCTCCAGCTGACCTCGTCCCATCCAAAGTGCGATAAACCTCATTACATGAAGTCACCACCTCTGATACGAGCCGAGTGACGTGGGGCAGTCAACAAGTTTCCACAGCTCCAGAGGGTGTGAAAGATCACGGTTTAGTTTTAGAAAGGAATGTATGGTCAACTTTTAGAAGCAATTGTTCTGTCAAATCTTCATCATAACAAAAGAGTGAGGATGTATTTGGGATTTTTAACATGAGAATCTTTTCCATTCTTGATCATTATATGTGCTGTAATTTCATGTAGGTGTTGGTTCTTCTATTCCAAGTAGAAGAAAACAGGCTGGATTTTGGTTGGGTGATGTGGCAAGGAAATAGTTGGTGGAGAAGTGAGATTTAAGTCGTAGAGAATTGTCTAAGTGCTGTTTGATTTCAAAGTTTTTTGGTTTTTTTGCTGCTACTGGACACCTGAATTTCTCCTGCGGGGATCAATGAAGTATCTATCTATCTATTAAATGTACAGTAAACACAGAGTATGTAGACTGTATATAAATGGACAATGCTAACCTCCTAGCTCAATGACGTCCAACGAGATCTTGGTCTTGGTATATTCTGCAAGTTGATTATGGAAACTCCACTAGCTCAGTAACTGTCTGTGTCATACTCACCAATATCAAGAAAACTCCAGATGGCCCTAGCAACCACCTTAGCAACACGTCTGCTTACGCTGTAGGAACAAACTCCCATATGTACGTTAATTGGCTCAAGTTAGCTCATGTTCAAATCAGTTCATTCGGCAAACACTATGATGATGTCACCACTCGGTTAATTCACTTCTAACATACAGTCTATGGTACGCAGTAGGAACTAACAATTGGGACACAGTTTTAGTTTCTACTCTACAGAACAGCCTCTCAGTCAGCGAGACCAATTTAGTAACTCGAGAGCATGCATTCTGTTTTACAACATGCATTCTAAGAGTTTATTGTCTAACTTTATTGATGCACAAGAGACATTACGTGGACACAGTAGCTCCACAAATAAAATCCTAGAAAATACAAATTCTGTGTTGATATAATTAGTTAGTTCCCATTGTCATTTTGTGTGGGTCTTCTGAGTGCAAAACAAAGTATGGGGAAAAAATATGACATTTACTGACAATAAAAACACACTCCACAAATCTGACCCTTCTCAGCCACTGTACGGACGCGATCAAGGGGAGAGGACGAGAAGCAGCAGCAAAAGCAAAAAAGGGATCTATAGAGAAAGTGCGGTGTAGATTTGGATCATGTTGAAAGTGTACAGCCGCAGGAGGTCGGCCCTTCCACTTCTCCAAACAGAACTCGTATCATTCTACAGATGTTGGAGCCTCTAGGATTCCTGCTCCACCTCCTCTGCGGACCACCAACACTTTCCTCTGTAATCAGGACTTCCACTATCGCATTCTGAGCTCCAGACCTGTCATTGCTCGGCCTCCCGCTGCTGAGAGCGGAGGTTACATTCAAAACCTCTGCTTTGCCTTTTTAATAAAACCTCACAACGTAAAGATGGATGTACCCAATAATAAAGTGTCAAAGAAAAGCAATGGAATCAAGAATGCGCCTCTAACCTGCGTGTATTGTTACTCCAATCCAATAATGCAACACAGATTTTGGTTCTAGCAGTTGAGGAATTAGCTAAACATCAAAAGACAAATTTTAGGGTCTGCTTGGTCTGAGCGCACAACATTATCAGACATCAAAATAACATGCATAAAACTAATAAATACATTTTTTATATATTATATTGCACAAAAAGGAGGGTCACCTGTGTTCTCGGGGTCATAAAGTGTAGCAGTTACTATTCCATTGGATTGAAAACTAGATTCATAATTATTTAGCCTTCCCTACTTCTCAATGGTAAAGAGTCATATGACCATAATGCAGCACTTTTCTGACTATTGGGGTCAAAACTCTGGCAACTTATAACAGCAAAAGTTTTCCTTTGTTTTTCTTACTTCATGTTAGACTTACGGATCCAGTTTGTTACAATAAAACCTCAACAATACTGTACAAACATCGTTGAAGGCGAAGGAGGAAGTTTGCATACTACCAAGAAAAAGGACAGAGAGGTGCTGCAGAAGTGGAAGTTACATTTAAAAAACAGACGTAAGAATTTAGCTATAGCTTGGACGTGTAGTGCAGTGATTTGTGTGATAACTGAACATCCCACTCGCACCTTTCTAGCATCAGCGCATTCAAATAAGCACTTTATACTCGAAAGAACCGATCAGCACATATTGTAACACCGTCATGGACAGTGGGGGACGATCCCAGATGGACCAGTAGTTGTGAAACACCCCAGTCACTGCGGCTTCCCGGCTCTGCAGTAGCTTCACACCAAAACCACAGCGAATCCTGCCAAACCAGACCCTGTCATTAAGCTCTTCAGATGGTGCCCTTCATATCGACTTTGTTCAATCATAAAACCAAGAAAAGGCAGCTTATACAGGATTTATTACAAAACAAAGGCTTGTATTCTATCAATATTCCCATCAGACTTGTTAGGGCAATGGTTTTTGGGCTTGCATTTGTGTTCAGTTTCTATTGGAACTTTAAACCTGTTAATATTTGGAGATTAAATCAGACAAAGAGCAGGTTAAGTTCCTGAGAGAGTATTGTGTTACATGCTCCTCATGGGGCAGGAACATAAAGACATTTTACAAATGGGGAGTCAGAAGGGACAAGGTATGAAACTTGTCCAGACAAGCAATTAACGGCACAAGACCAAGTTCCACATCAGATCCCCACAGTTAAGATGCATGTTTTTCAAAATGAATTAGAATCATTATATTTGACAGATCTCAGGACTACGAAACCACGAAATCTATGTTCACGTTTGTGCAGCTAAAATCTCTAACAGTCTTCCTTAAAATGTGAAACAGGCCTCTAAGAAGAAATTTCAATAATAAGTAATGATAAATTAAAATGAGATAAACCTGGACTTAAGAGCCAACATTGGCAATGTTCAAATCCTAATTTTTA